CTAAAGTTTAAGGACATATTTATCTTAAAAGTTGGGGGACTCCAGATTGGTATTTTAACCGACACTGTTATATCTGTGCGTGACAGTCAACTCTCCCGTTAAGTGACTTGCCTTGTTTCGAGGGCAAAAGGTACCCATTTACCCTTAAACTTTTTAAATTTGAAGTATTTTACTTTTTATATTACAATATATGATTTTTTATTTTTCATGTTTTTGAATATATGATTTTTTATTCTTCATGTTTTCGAGTTTAGGAAAATAAAGAAAAATTTAACGCCAGAAGAGTCACGTGCGGCACGTGCATCGTTAATCTCTGTCATCTATTAACGTGTTCATGTTAACTCAAATTTTTTTACATGTTGGCAAATCCAGCTTCCATCCTTTGTGAGCTGAAATTCTACCCCAACAATTTAGTTTTTTTTTTTTCTTTCCTCACTTTCCTCTTCCCTTCTTCAACCCTTTCTTCAACTAATGCAAATCTCTAACATCTCAACCAGTCTATTGACCCAATCAACCATGGGTTCGAACAAACCCAGTGTATGGGTTTGATGAAACCCTCAACTTTTGCAAATCTCTAACATCTCAACCAATTTATTCATCTCAATCAATCTCTACATTTTGAGTTCTTCATCATTATCAAACAACCAAACCCACAGAAACCAAAAAAAAAAAAAATTAATTAATTAATTTTTTGTCACTGGGTTCCATAGAACCCACACCTGAGATCCAAAGAACCTAGGTGTGCTGGGTTCGAAGGAATCCAATGCCTGGGTTACAAGGAACCCAGGTGTGAGTCAATGGGAACCCTCAACTTCTGTAAATCTCTAACTCAATCAATCTATTTACCTCAATCAATCTCTACCCTAACTAAGTTCTTCATCATCATCAAAAAAACAAAACCCATAGAAAACAAAAAAAAAAAAATTTTAAAAAATTTTTTGCCACTGGGTTACATAAAACCCGCGCCTAGGTTTCATGGAGGGCTTCTCCTTGCTGATGAATTCTGTTGGGTTCCAAGGGAGAGAGAAAGGAAAGGAGAAGGGAAAAAAAAAAAAAGAGAAAGAATTTTTTTTTTATCATATTATTATTATTTTTATGTTATTATTATAAAGTCTAAGTTGGACTTGCCAACATGTAAAAAAGTCTGAGTTGGCATTGACACATTAAGGTATAATGAAGATTAACAATGCACGTGTCGCATGTGATTTTTCGGCATTAAATTTTACCTTATTTCCCTAAACTCGAAAACATGAAGGATAAAAAATCATATATTGTAATATGAGGGGTAAAATGTCTCAAATTAGAAAAGTTGAAAGGCAAATGAGTACCTTTTGCCGTGTTTGGAGCATCAGGCTTTCCGTATGTTTGGTGTGACAGAAACTTTTAATAGAAATTATGTTAAAAAGAATCTGTTATAAAAGTGTTATTTTTGAGAAATTAATAGTGTTCAGTGAAATTTTGTATAGAAGTATTTATAGAATGAAAAGTTATTTGGTAAATTTTTTTATAAAAAATTTTTTAATATTAAAATGACTAAAATAGATATTGTTTATTT